TACCACTAAGCATTCCACTTTTTTTTTTTTTTGCGACGCTCGTCTCCTTTCCTCTATTGGGGACTTTTTGTTTCTTCGTTATTTCTCTCGATTCTCGAAAGGAGATGGATATATATTCTCTGGATTCTTAAAGGGAGATGGATATATATTTCTCTCGATTCTTGAAAGAAGATGGATATATGTATTTCTCTCGATCCTCGAAAGAAGATAGATGTATATTTCTTTCGATTATCGAAGGAGAGAAAGAGATAAAAAAGAGAAAAAAAGATAAAAATGAAAAAAGACAGAGAGAGAGAGAGAGAGAGGGCACAGTCATTTTAACGAGACTAATCGGTTCCTTTCCGATCGCTTATTTCCCGTCTCCTTTCCACCTCTTTCTCTCAAACTTGTTTCTTTTTTTTCTGTTTTTTTTAGAAAGGTCGTTTCAAAACCAGTAGCAATCCTCCGTCTTCCCCTAAAACAAGAAGCTTGGAGAGGTAATTTGGTAGACGGGTCGAGAGATCAGAATTTCATCCTCTAAAGAAGTAGAAAAAAAATGACTTCCTGATTTTAAACGTATTTATACCAATTTTTGTTTTGTTCCCTTTCGATGTTTTTTTTGGATAAAAAAATCGATTGCTTATTTTTAATCCAAGCATACTATTTTGCATATACATATTCAAATGGATACAGCTAATAATTATGTTTGTGAATGCAACACGATGAATGGGCGCGGCAAAATTTTGCAATTCTGTTACAGTTTGTTCCCTTTCCTTTTTTTCTGTATAAAATATATTTCTCCAATACTTATATTATACTTAAAAAAAAAGGTGGCAAACTTTTATTTCTCAAATAAGTATATAATGTGCGGGGAATAAATAAAGTAATATTGGCGCTTCCTTAATTTATTTTCCACCGTGTTACGCGCCACGCGCTGACCTAGATTCGCTACGTGAATGACTTTTACGAATGCGAGTGTGAATGAATGACTTGAGTGAATGGAGAAACGAAAAAGGAACTAACAAAACGAACGGACATATGTGGCATCATGAGGACGAAAGTATGAATGTATATATCAAGTATGAATGAATGAATGAGAAGAATGAATTGTGCCGCGTCAAGAGGAATAGGTATGGCGAGGGGAGGGAAGGGAAATAGAAACGAGTCAACTCTCAAATGACTGTTAAGAAAAGAATTCAATTCCTAAACTTGAAGGAAAAAATTCTACCGAGGATAATCATTTCTTGTCATTGTTTTCCTTTCTTGTCATTTGTTGTTCAAAATTCTTCAAAATGGGGTTTTCTTCTTCTTCTTCTTTTACTTCTAGTTTCTACTTCTATTTTCACTTCTTCTTCCTCTCTTTTAACATAATTCTCTTGATGAAGATGAAACAAAACTTTAAGAAGAAGAAGAAGAAGTAAGATAATAATTTATGTTAAAGATGAAAAAGCGCAAAAGTAGAAGAAGAAGAAGAAGAAGAAAAAGAATGTAAAGAAGAAAGAGCAGCAGCAGGAGCAACAGCACCAATAATAATAAAAAAAAAGCTAGAGAATGGAACGGGGAAATTATACTACAAGAACTTGTTACTTGCTAAAAGGGAGGATGCTGCTTCTGTGATGGAATGGAAACGGTGGCAGTAAACTAAAATGGAATAATAGGGTACCGGAAGGACCCAACGAAACCATCCGGAAGTTCTCACGCGTCTCTCGCTTCTCCCACGACCGCAAACGAACATGACACCTGGCACTCGGCGTGCACCCTGCAGATGACCGAGAGTTGAGAAGAGATTGCTTACATCTAACGTTCTCAACTTTAAAAACCACCCCCTCGACACCTTCCTTTTTACCCAGCAATCTTCTCACGCCCCCAATATTGTCTACGGACCGGTGCGCGCACACCAGAAGCTACACATGCACCGAAACATAAAGTCTGCCTACCGTGGCCGGTGCTCTTTTATTATAAACCTGTCAGGTCAAATTTTTCAATATCTTTATGTGAATCTAATCGATTATAACTGTTAATCTTCATCACACTTCTCTTACTCTGCGACATTTTTTCTTAATTCTTTTTCAACCATTTCACGCATAGTTTTTCGAAGGATATCAAATTGAGACAAAAAACGTATTACTAAAATTTGTTTTCGATAAGGTCAAATTTGAATCCGAATCACCGTATCATTAAGAATTATTGCGAGTAAAGCACAAAATGAATTTTTAAAATCAACTCAGCAAAACACTTGACATATATTAACCGCATATCATCAAAGCAAAAAGATTCCTCGTTCACAATCAATCATTTTGTTGAGCTTCCCTGAACTGAAAACGAGAGACGCAGTTATTTTCAAACAAGATAATTATCATTGCGACAGGAAAAGAAAAAGATCGAGGAGACACATCACATCACATCACATTAGTAAATATCATAAAACAAAAGCGAGCAAAAGAGATGCCAAAAACTCATTCTGTTCTTATTCGCATCATCAGCACTCAACAAAAATCTCATCGTCTCGAACCAAGAGGCATTATAATAAATTTTTATTACTGTTGAGTTGTGCGCGTGCGACGATATATATATATATATATATATATATATATATATATATATATATATATATATATATATATATATATATATATATATATATATATATCTATACATGTAGTGAATTGCCGCCTCTCTTGAACGGCAGGATGTCAAATTGGCGTAAAAACAGTTTTCCGGTGCAATGCTTATAAGACGATGACATTCTTCGAAAGGCGCGTAAAAATAAAAGAAAGAAAGAAAGAAGAATCTGGAACTCGATCGACGACTCGTTATGAATGGAGAGTCTCCAACTTGCCGCACTTATACAATATATATGTATATATATATATAAGCAACAGGTTATTCGAACGTCAAGTGGGCGCCACTTTTGCCCTCAAGCTATGTTTTTACTCTCTTGCGCTATATAGTCCGGTAAGTGCATAGATTTTAACCGTCTTCTTCATTAAATTCCCTCCCCCCTAAAAAAAAGAAAAATAAACACAAAAAACTTTCCATTGTACCATAAATATGTATCCGTTATACTGAATAAATAATAACACACTTTTAGCTACTTTATCACTTCTTAGCACAAAAAACATTAAATATTTTCGATTTATAAGATATATGTAACATTTTTAAGTTTACATCAGTTTTTCTAAGGATGTCAAATATTACTATTATTGTTTTGTTATTATCATTGTTGATATTGTTATTGTAATTGTTATTATACAGTTTCATGAAAAATAAGAAAAACCAGAAAATTTCTCTGTGGAATTTAAAAACAAAAAAAAATAAGAATTATTGTCATCTGGTAACGTAGTGATTATCATTTATCCTCGTGGAATTACATCAAGTGTGACATGCCTGCATTATTATTCAGTGATTAACAACTAATCTACGGATCGTAACTTTATAATTGCGAAAACATTTAATGCTTTCTTATTACCACATGCATTCGGTATGTGTGCAATGAGGATAGCTGACTCTGTAAATTATGGGTATTGTATTAACGATGAGAAAGTAAAAAGGTTTGAAAATTGACAATGTAAGAAATAGAAAAACAGGTGTTTTTCAATTATATTGACAGAAATCATCTTTGTTTATATTGTTAATTAAAAAGTATGCTACTTATTTTCTATATGCTTTAGTTTAATAAACATTGTTCACGGTGAAATTAAACATTGACTGAGCAACTGACAATTTACGAGTTGCTACCATACTATTTAGTACTATTCACTATACTACTTCAGTTTAGTAGAATTCTATACTATATTCCACTTGGGTAGAATAAAGTTATGTTTATAGCGGTTAAGTTATAGATAAGTTAAAGATAAGTCAAATATATGTTAAAGTCAGGTCGATGATAGGTCAAATGTGGATTAACTCAGGCTGAAGATAGGTTGAAGTAAAGTTTATAAAAAGTCCAATAAGGGATAGTAATAAGGTTGAATATAGGTCAAACATGAATTAAATAAGGTTGAAGATTGGACAAACATTAAATTAATCAATGTTGAAGATTGGCCAAACGTGGACAAAAGTGAAGTTAAACATTAATAAAAAATCTGGGTTAGAGCAAAGTTCATAATATGTTAAACATAGATTAAAATAAAGTTTACGAAAGATCAAATTTGAGTTACTACAGTTGAAGATAGGTCAAACATAGGTTAAATTAAAGTTGCTGATAGGTCAAACATGAGTTAACTGAGGTTTAATCAACATTAAACCTTGGTTAACTCATGTTTGATTGTAGACATGTCAAATATGGCTTAACTTAGACAGAGGATAGATCAAACATAGGTCGAACTCAAATTGACGATAGGTCAAATGAAGTAAAGGTTAAATAAAACTAATAAATTTATAGCCGTAAGTATTCAGTTTTTAGGAAAAATGTAAGAATCTCAAATGATAAGAATCATATCCTCTTACTCCTTTCCGAGTATTTAAACAAGATTACGCAACGCAACAAATTGATCAGTAAACAGACAACATTGATATTATTGTGCTGTTGTATGCACACTCCGAAAGCTTTCGCATTAACAGAACGTCTGTTCTTTCGAGTTCAAGAGTAGATAGTCGATAGAAACGAATAAGACTCGAGACACCGTACAGATAGTGAGTTTATTTGGCCAAGGCCACTTTACTAATATAAGTGCTTAACTTATGCATGCACTATCGCACATGAATCATTTTGCCTTGATCCTTCGAGAACGTAAACTTTAAGATTCAATCTCAACTTTTGCCGCCAAGTGAAAGGTGTATGTCCAAAACTTGGCTCCGTTAATTAACAATATATCAGAAGAAGATATGAAGAATATATATTCTTCAGGTGTGAAGAGCACATTCTGCAGAATACACTCCGAAGAATGTATACATTCATAAATAATACTCTGAAGACAATTCTTCAGATGTGAAGAATATATTCAGTTGAAAAGTTTAGAGCTGTTTAAAAATAATAGAAGCTTGAATAATTATATCCATTTTGATGTATAGGAACTTACCCCAATCTGATAAATGACTAACGGCTCTTGCTCCTCATTTGTTTCGTGCTCCTGTCGTTTTGGATGTTTGCTGTCGAGCAAATCAATTTCAATATCAACATCTTGAAATTTCTCCACTTCCGCCAAATTCTTCTTTTCATTCAGCGTGTAATACCTGTTCTTTTGCGAGGATTCATATTCAGTTTTTTGCAGACCCAAAGTTTTGCACTCATTCCTGGGAAGGCTGAAGACCGCCAGCATAAAGAAAACCACGAATCCTTTCATGGTTTTTATATATGTATATATGCTCGTCTCAAATGTCCTTGATCCTTCAACCTTGACCCCCTTTTTCTCCTCTCTCTCTCTCTCTCTCCCAATTTAAAGAAGAAAAAACAATCACAAAAACGTTCGGGGGTAATTACGTAATAAAATTTACAGGTCACAGGAAAATTGCACTCGTCACAAATCACTGACGGAAAAATCTTTTCATTTAAGAAACTGACTCTTTCTTCTTCGCAGAAAGAAATTGAGAAAAATCGCAGAAACTAAAATTGAGGTAGTTTTGGAAAATATGTTCGCGATGAGGCACTGGAGTTGTGTCCACGTTTTGACGGAGTGTTTCACCTTGTGTCGACAGTTCGTCTTGCTCACTCGACTCGCCCGACTCAAATGACTCCAATACTCGAATGACTTGGATGACTCGTAGTTGTGAGTGCCTGCCGGCTGTAGAATGGCGCCCACGGGGTACACGAAGGTATGTGCCGCTCTGTGAACTGGACTCTTAGGCCATGAATGGGTGCCCCCACCTTTCTTCCTCAATATCTTCTGTCCTCCTCGCTAGGTTCCCTCCACTCCCTCGTTTCTCTCATCCCTCGGAAATTTCATCCTCCAATCCCCGCTTGTACATTCGGATCTTCAAGTTTTTCTTCCTCGTGCTGCTTCTTCTTCTTCTTCTTCTTTATCCGCTGTTTCGCTGTCTTCTATATACCTTTTCTCGGACTCTTTTTCTTCTTTTCCCCCCTTAATGGCGCGTTGCACCTCGCAGTCCATGTATATGTGGCTGTATGTGAAATTCACCAAGTGTTGAGATATCTTTCGTCTGCTTCCATATGCCTCACGGCATTTTTCTTCTTGCTCGAGTTTCTTTTGCCTTTGAAAACAATCTTCTTCTTATTCTTTTTTTCTCACTCCATCTACCCACCCTGCTTATAATCGAGGGCTATTTTTTTCATACAAAAACCTTATCATCTTGTTTAATTACTGTAATAATAATAATGCGATGATCAAAACATTACAGGCCCTGACATTTGTTTTGTTGTTCCGAATAACGATATGGAAGCAATAAACAAAAATTACAAGAATTCACAGAAAAAAAGTGTCACCACCGAAACGTCAATTCTCTAAAATAAATACGAAAGTCTCAACTAAAACAGTCAAAATCAGTATAAATATTTAGTTTTGGTATTCGTTAGTAATATAAAGTATACTTGCTATATACATAAATATATTCATGTATATATATATATATATACAAAATATACGCAAATATCAGTACGCGTCAAAGTTATACGATCATTTACGTAGTTAAGTGCAGTGCATGTACGCCCACATATACGCGAACACGCACCCGCTCCCTCGCGCTACTCTTCTCGATCAGGTGCACGGAATCAAGAATCTCTCTTCCTTCTTTAGTCCCTTTAGTTTATTTTATATTCGTCTTGCACGTTCTGTTTATGTATATATATATACTTTCTTTTTCTCTTTCATTTCGTATTCTCTTATTATATGTTTACCTGTTCCTTTTCTCTTTGCATTTTCCTTTCTTCTTTCGGTTCTCGCAAATTTTTGCTTTTCCTTTTATATAATAATATATTCCTTTACTCTTTCTGTTACTCTAATACTGTCACTGTATTCTTTATCATTGTTTTTTTTTGTGTCACTGTTTACTAATAATAAAAATTTGTTTAAGAAAATTATTATTTGTTAATAATACTCTCTAAATCTGAATTAGTAAATTTCTACTATAATGAAATAGTGCGGCTTTGTTTATTAGTTGAATTAGTAACAGTTTTGACTAATTTTTAGTAAAAAGCTTTAATACTATTTGCTAGTAGAAAACTAGTAATTCATGTAGTAAGTCGGCTTACTATTGAAATAGTAAAAAATACGACCTTTACTAATGAATTAATAGATTTCTATACTATAGCAAATTAGTTTTTTACTAAAACTTATAGTCAAAACTGTTACTATAATTCAAATAATAAACGAAATCACACTATTTAATTAGTAGAAAACTATACTAATTCAGATTTAGAGAGTACAATTATTAATATTTATAATTATATAATATGTTGTCAAAGTAAGAGATTTAGGACGAAATAAAAATTACGGCAACATTACTGCGCGAACAATGTTTCTGCTGCAATAAAGCAGTGTAATGTAGTTGTAGTAAAATTACCGTGCAATGCTGCAGCAATATTGCCGCAGGAATTTCCTCTGCCTGAAAATATTGCCTTTAATTAATGAAAAGATGAATCATTATTTATAGTGTTTGTAAGTATATGCATAGAGTTTTTTTTTTATTCACTTTTTTGCACGCCTATTTTATTACTTTTCTTGCCAAGCACGTGTTTTCAACCTGTTGCACGTACACCATGTTTGGTACTCGTAAATCAATGTCGAGTGGTACGAGACTCCCTTTGATCGTGATCGTCCTACGATATCCAATTTCCCCGCCCTCCTTCTTATTGGCATTGTCTACGTGTCCCTTTGGTCTCTTCCAGCCACGTTCCCTCTTCATATATATAATATAAATTCCATTCAAGGATTTCAAGTATATACATATATAGTTGTTGTTGTTGTTGTTGTTGTTGCTGTTGTAATTTAACAATTTCGTATTTTTTTGACAAAGAGGGAAAAAACTGTACTATGTATTTGTAATTTGGCGAATTCCGTTTATAAAAGAATATATGTATTTCGAGAAATTGAGATCGTCTTGGTGAACGGGAACTTATCCGTTATTTTAGACATGGACTCAACATTCTTCATGAAAGCGGTATATATATATATATGTATAATGTACGAATGCATTTATGTACATTTCTATGGATTTTAAATCAAGCACTAACAAGAAAAACGGATTGCATGTGCAAACATTTTTTTGTTCATGTATATAAAAGGTACATTTTCAAAGTATAAATTTTTCTTCAGTAAATAAATAATTGTAACGCACTCCGAAGAATAGTACACTGAATCTAAATGTTCAATTACACCATTGACAGATATTCGTGCCATTTCTCTAACAGAGGGACAAATTAACCATCTTGAGAAATCCCTTCCCCTTATTTCTGTATTTCTATTCAAAAAATTACAAACATAACCTTAAATTTTTAGGTCCTTTCTTCACTGTAAAAGAAGACATTATCTTATTCTAAGTTCTCTCCGAAAAGTTATCAAAAGCAACTTAAAATCCATTGATCTTTAAGATGGAAGATCGAAAAATGAGACGTTTTAAAATATCTTAAAAGTGACTACAGTGTATTTTTAAGAGTAAAAATTATTGTAAATAAAAAAATCGATTAATTAAATTGTCTAAATTTTATGCGAGTATAAAAGTTTAACCTAACGTACGAAAAATAGAGCAAGATGTGATAATTTTTTTTCATTATGGTCATTAACTATAAATATTATTAAGTGAGGGAATCTTTTTAAGAGTATACTTAAAAAGAGTCTAAAATATACTCATGTTTTGCTATATAGCAATAAACATACGAATATATTTTAGACTCTTTTTCTGCATATGGTGTAAGGAAATAAATAAGGAATAATAATTATAAGTGTTGCAAATTGACTGAGCGAGAATTAGTTGACTACATATATAGATAAGAAAAATCCTGACACTATCAAGTATCATAATTGCTAGTTTTCATTAACATGAAAAGGAAAATCGAACACAAGAAAGCGTTTGGCTTTCACATTTCAGAAAGGGAAATCACAAATTAAGGAAACGCCCTGCCTTTTACACATCATAGAACACAAGTTGATTATATATATACATATATATATGATAATAATTCTCCTACGCTTCAAGAAGTAAAAAATTTGTCAAATCTTAATGCTGTGACTAAATAGAAATTTATCACTTCCATATTATACATTTTGTTCTCTTTTTTAATTCCCGATTCTTTTTTCCATCTTTTTTGATTCTTGCGATTCTTCGCAAGAATATTCTTCGAATATTGATTTTTTCAAAATTAAATCACTGACAGAAAAAATTTGTTCACTTATTTCATATATATAAAATAGTGGTAATGCGTTTTTCGTTTTCTCAAAACTTTTGCTCCCAATATATTTAAAAAGGAACCGTATTATTCGAGATTTATACATTCACTTGTGAACGTACACCTAATATATACGCATCTCGTAACTCAACCTTGCATTATAATATTTGTGGGTCTAACACAATAGTGAAATTGAATGAAATCCAACATTTAAAGGCTTCAAAAAGTCTTCAAAATCTTTTCTTTAACGGCAATTAATTAAATTTGGTGATATAAATTAAACTAGCAAATAATTAAATTTTAAAGTTATGTTCTTTTCCTTAACAGTGCCAACAGTGCATATTGGACCTGAAGATTAGTTGGTTTTTTGATTGAATTGTAGAAAAATAGGTTTACAATATATATAGTTTACTGTTGTGAACATAGCGTGAAGGCGACGAACATAACCTGCAAGGTTAAGTTGAAGAGCGAACATAACCTTAAAAAGAGGCAAAGAAAGGCAAAAAGTGTGGCAAAAGAGAGGAGCTGATGAGGTCCATTGCGCAAATGAGACTTGCACCATTCTTTCACTCGCGTCCGTAGGTGCGCGCCGCTTGGCGTCGCGACGTGTATTTTTGAGGAGTGAGCGCGCGCAATGGCACACATAATTGTACCCACGTTTAAGAATCAATGCGTGGGCGCGTTGTTGTGCTTGAATCTCGTGAACCCGTTTTGCGCTTTAACAAGCAATGTGTAGGTGGAGCAAGCGCAGATTTCTACCGGTTGAGAGTCACTTTTTCGATCTAGTCAATATATATATATATATATGGACATTTGCGAACTCATCTACTTTCTTTATTATAAATAATATAAAGTACCCATAAGTTATTTTTAAGGTATTGAGTCCTTAAAATATTTACGATTCTACGATTTAAATTTTAAGATTTCATTGTGCTTATAGGGCAAATATTATATAGATTATAAGTTAGGTTATGTTAGATTAAAATTCAAAATATAATACACTGTAGAAAAGAACCCTTGGTAGCGAACGAATTATATAGGTTATGTTTGAATCAAAAATTAGTAACATAACCTAACATTTTCTGCCTTTTCATTTCAAGGTTTCTTTTTCCGAGCATGTCACAAATATAGACAAAATTTATAAATTGTTGTGTAATTTAAAAAAGAAACTTACTAATTCTATAAGGTTTGTTGTTAAATTTTGTCCGGCCACTAATGCTAAAAAACAAATTAGTGTAATCGATTTAAAATTAAAAAATTTAGCCATTTTATATACTATATGTGCTATTATTGAGAAATAAAAACTTGAAAAAAACACGGAAATAACATAACATCGCGAGTATATATATCGATGAATTTTAAATAAAAATTGATTCTAAATGAAAATTAATAAATTTGAAAAAAAGAAGATAAAAAGTTATTCTTGACAACAGTATAAATATTCTATTATTGCAAAATAATAATTCTTATTAATAGATAATTCGAATCAATTGAAACATCTGTTTTACCATATGAATATTTTGATTGTTTTCTTTGTGTCGAAAATACAAAAAAAGCTCTTTTATTACTATATAAAGATATATTTTCGAATTAAAAAATTGTAATTGTATTGTAATTCAAATATTACTAATTAGCATTAATTATGCATACATTAGATTAAAGAAAATAAAAATAAAAGAATAATAATAATAATAATAATAACAAATAATTTAATAATAAATAATAATAAAAATTAATAAACAAAAAATTCCATTACCTTGATATTAAATTAACATTTCTAATAATAAGGGGCCATCCACAAACTATGTTATAAATTTAGGGGGGAGGGGTCTAAAAAAATAAAAAATTGGTAACGTAGTTTATGGACAGCCCCTAATTAACATA